GAGGATGATGTGGTTCAATCTTTTTTCTCCATTAGGCAATATAGTAGAGCTATCAAATGGTTAGAATTGAAACCAATTTAAAACTTTAAGGTTTCAATTTAAAATATAAAGGGTAAATTATAATACGTCCCTTGAAATTTGCTTAAAACACGATTTGTCTCCTGTGATTTTAAAAATTATATTCCACGATTTGAAATTTTTAATTTCATAATAAATGACTCATTTTATTAATAAATTATCAAATTAATTAACATTTTTGAGTAATGTCAGAAATTTATTTTAATTAATAATTTGGGTAATTTTATCATTGTATAAGAGAGAAATTAAGAATTTTTTTTTTCATTTAATTCTGTTAAATAAAAAATTCTTACAATAGAATATTTATAATTTTTTAAATTATATGGGACAATTCATATTTTACCGTTATCTAAATTATAAAATTTAATTTGTTATATGGCTCAAGTCTTAATTTAAAAAAATAAAAATAAAAATAAAAATAAAAATAAAATTATCATAATATGCATTAATACTCTCAACCAATAAAACCGTATAAAAATATAATAAATGAGGGTGTTGTTTGGCAAGTTAGTTTGTGGCTAAAATAGCCACAAAAGACAAAATAAGTTATTTTAGCCACAATAAAAAAAATATGACATCCAACCTATAATCATTACACTCTTCTCTCACAAAAAAAATCAAAAAGACAAAAAATCCTTTCCAAACCAAACTTTTTAATTCAAATTAAAATAATAAAAAAAATCAAAAAATCAAAAAACCAACCCACTTATCAAATGGAGGCTAACTTTATTCCCAGCCACTTGATCAAGCAAGTGAGTCGGCAGTGGCGGCTGGCTGCAAATGAGCTCCTTTCGTTTGAAGTTGATTTCAACCAAATTCATTTAGGTGTTGTTTGGGAAGAGCTCATTTGGACTCTTTTGGCTCTTTGAGCCACAAAAGACAGAATAGGTTATTTGAGCCACAACAGACAAAATATCACATCCAATCCATAATCATTACACTCTTCTCTCATAAAAAAATTCAAAAAAGCCAAAAAGTCAAAAAACCCTTCCCAAACCAAACTTTTGAACCCAGGCTCAAATAACCAAAAAAGTCAAAAAGTCAAAAAGCTAACCCACTTCCCAAACGAAGGCTTAACGTGTTTGAACTCAATTTTTAAGTTTGTTATTTTTTCAAATCAAATTTGAATAATTTCAAACTTAGGCTAAGTTTGGGAAGTCCCAAATAAGTTAAAAAGTCAAAAAGTTACTCAAAAAGTTAAAAAGTTAACACTATTCACCAAAAGTCAACAATTACGGCTGCACAACTCCCAATTCAAATTTTCCTCTACAAACCAATTTTTACAATTTTTTATTACACATTTTTCCATAAAAAGTCAAAAAGTTAACCCAAACATCCATATTTTCAATCTCAATTTTTTAGTCCAAAAAGACAAAAAGTGCACTTATTTAGTCTTCCCAAACTTGGCCTTATTTCGATGAGGATTGTGAACATTAAAAAAATATATATTTAACTAATAATTTATCAAATAAATTTTTATTAATTAATTTTTTCATTTGTGTTTGATTTTTGTGTAAATTTTTATAATTGATTGATAAAATTTATTATTAATATAAGAATTTTGGTATGTTTTGCTTACAACTTTTAATTTTTTTTTTCAAGTTTGAGCTCAATTATTTAAGCTCGATTATAATTCATCTCCATTAATTCTTAATAAACAAATTTGAACATTAAAAAACTCGGTTCAGCTTATTTATAACCCTAGTGGCAACTCAAGATTTTTTGGAGGCCTTAGATTAAATATTAAAATGAAATCTTATTTAACTAATTTTTTGAAAAGTTGAAACTTTTGACAATAAAATAATTTTAAATTTTTTTTGTAGGCCTTAAGAAGCTGCCTAAATGGCCTAATGATTGAGTCAAAGAGTATGGCTCACATCTTCAAACCTCATTTGTCAATAGACTATTTTAATTAAACAATCAAAAAAATCACTATAAATTATTGAGAAACACTGTGCATCATATGTACTTTCTAACTAAAAAGAAAAATAATATAATTTTAATTTTCTGAGTTATAACTAAAAAAAAAAAATTTAAATGTCATAACTAAACACAACATGAGGTATATCAAAGAGTATCATTATCAATCTCATTAGAGCCTTCTCTTGGCTATTTTATAGTATAAAATCACATAAATACACTTCATCAAACTCAATTCTTGGCTAATTACTTTAATTGAATATCAAACTACTAGCTACATATAGTTAAAAAAATATGACTCAACAAATAATTTTAGGTAATAAAATAATTAATATATTATATTATATTTTTTTTATCATCTAATCAATTATTACTATATTAATAATAAATATGAGTTGCAAAATTATTAAACTAATGCAATTGTAATACATGAGATAAACAACATAATTTGATAAATTAAGAAAAAATATTTATAAACAAAATTTTTTATTAAAAAAATTAAATCAGAATAATATAATTGTGTTATTTTTGAAAATATAAGTTAAAATAATTTGTATTTTAAATTAAGATGAACGGAATATAAAATATCACATCATTTTGTATGTAAATTCAATATAATTTTTTTTTGGGAAATTACATTTCAATTTCCTGAAGTTTAGAGGTATCAGAAAGAATATAGGTAGTCTTAAGACTCAAAAATAAATACGATAAAATATATATTTTAATGTAAAAAAAATGGCAGCAATCACTTTTTTATCCATAAGACTAACAAATTAAGGAGAAAAATGGATTAAGTATTACGTAAATTAAAATTTTAAAGGAATCTAATATAATATGCGATCTTATGAAATTTATTAGATTTTCTTTAAATTTTAAGAGATGTAAATATAATTTATCCAATATTTTATTTATATATTATTATCCTAAATAAATGTGATCATTCATTATTTTAATTCTCTCTTAAATATTAAATTTGAAATTAGAAAAAATAAAATAAAAATAGAATAGAGTAAAAAACAGAGAGTTTGTCAGAAAATGTATTTAAAAAGATGGTTAGTTAAAATAGAAAAATAGACTTTTAGGGTTCGTTTGGGATGTGGGTTGACTTTTTGACTTTTAGGCTTTTTGGCTATTTTAGCATGGGCTAAGAGGTCTCGCTTGGGATTGACTTTTTAGCTTTTTTGACTTTTGTGAGAAAAAAAATAAAATGATTTATGATTTGGATATGACCTTTTGTCTTATTGACTTTTTAGCTTATCTTTTCATTTTGTAGCTATTTTAGCCCAAGATTGGGATGCCAAACAAAGGCTTAGTTTAAATTCAACTAAAAATTTGATTATTTTGATGGAAATCCTCTAAAGAATTCATAAGTTATAACTAAAGAAGAAAATTGATCATAACTAAAAAAATTAATATAATACATATAATACACTATTTTCAAAAAAATGTATATTAATTTTTTTAAAAATTATCATATCATCCTCTTTACTATTTTTTTACACGTCTTTTATAAAAAAAATTAAAAATCCCCTTTATTGTCTTTTTATAAAAAAAATCACCTTTCAAAACCAGCGCCAGTGCTAAAAATGGGAGACTGTGAGGACCACGTGGCACCAGCAGGTCATCCACCTTCCGCACTTGTGAAGGATTGGTTTGGTATTTTGAAATTTATTTTTTTTATGATAAATACATTTTTATTATTAATCTCACTTTTAATTAATTTAATTTTAATATTTTTCGAAATCTCACTTGCAAATTAGTTATAAGTATTTATTTATTTTAATTATATATATACTATCTATATAAGGTAGATTGACTAATTTAACAATGATGTAGTATGACAAATATCTATTTTGAATTATTATATATTCAATGATGAGAAGGACTAGATTTACAATTAGATCCACAAATTTACGAACAATGATACAGTAAGAGAGTTGAGCATCATAGGATTAGGTGGGTAACAAATTAAGAGTGAAACTTAACATTCCACATCGTTGCAAGTTTAATTGTGATAGCTTCTTGGAGTTTCACATCTAAATTGTGTGTCTATAGCTCTTATCAAAATAATTTTTTAGATAATCGGATATTCGGATAAGTTTATGTGCATTTCGACTAATTTTGAAAAATTAATCTTACCGCCCACTTATGAAAGCCCCATTTAAAGTTGAATTGGCCCAAAATAACTTATTATAGCTAGTTAATATTAAACTTGAGATTTAAAAAGAGTACATTCCAAGTCTTGACTCAAAATAAAATACAAAAAATACATAAATATATGAGCAATAGTAGAGACTCATAAATTTATTTACAATGAATGTGTTAGATCTTTTTATCATTTAATATATAATAAATTAAAAATTAATACTTACCGTAGGTTAGACTATTAGAGTTTTTATTATCTTCGTGGATTTGCAAAAAAAAATTTCCAAATGTATATATTTGTTTGGCACATAAAGGTGTGCCTTCATTTTGTTTGTGCCTAAACAAAGCACGTTTAATAGTTAACATTCTATTTGGATCGCGAGGAAATGTGAGAAAAGAAAACAAAAAAAAAAATAGTTATATTTTTTATTATTATATTTAAATGAATAAAAGATAAAAAGATGTAATTTTTTTTATATATTTTGTTTGGATAGAATAACTAAGAAAAAAATAAAATAATTTTTTTATTATATTAAAATAATTTATATTTTTTTCATAAAAATAATTTTAATATTTTTAAATGTATTTTTTTTTTTCACAAAATCTCACAACTTTTTAATGAAAAATAATATTTTTTTACCTCCTTCCTTAATCCGGCCAAAAAATCTCAAATCCGCCATCCGTCCGCCAAATTGGCGGATTGGAGAAAATCAATCCGCAACCGTCTGCTCATCATCACGCATCGGTCCAAAATGCGGCGGATCGGTTCGGTTCGATCGGTTTTGACGGATCGGTATATCCGCTGCTCACCCCTAACCCAAACAAATAAAAAAAAATTCTTATTCTCAATATTTTTTTTTTCCTCGCAAAACCCCACCATCCAAACGGAGTGAAAAGTCCCACCTTCTAAAAAAGGCCTGTCCAGTATTTTCGTTTCGCGTCTCTCTCCTTCGATCTCGACTGTTCTTCGTTCGCAGTTTCCAACTTTTTGGTCAAGGTACGCAGCTTACGCTCCTTCTCTCTCTCTCTGCTGCTCTTTACTATTTGTAATTCTCTCATATCAATTTTATTTTTATTACCTCGCATTTTTTTTTATTTGTAAACAGTTTTAATTACACGGTAATGATTTTAATGCTTAGATCAAGTTCTCTGCAATGGTTGAAATTGTTTGGCTCTGATGAAACCCTAGCATGTTCTTCATATTTCAGAATCATTTCTTAACATGCTTATGCTGAATATGTAGTGTATATGTATAGATTCGTTATATATGCTTCTGTACTGTGTATGTGTATATGATATATAGTGATTTACAAAGGTATATAGTGAAATCTGTAATTCAATTTTTATTGAAATTCTAACGTGATATATGTCGTAGAACAGTGGAATTGCTTTGAACGATGGTGTTCTTCAGAAGCGTTTCTGCGCTTTCTAAGCTACGTTCTCGTGTTGTAAGTTTCATTACTCTCTCTTTTTTATGTTTTTGTAATATCAGGAACAATACATCATTTTACCAGCATGGATCCTTTAGAGTGATTTATTTTTCCTAAAGTGATGTATTGTATAGCTGAGATTCCATGATGATGATCTTAACATGATTTGATATACGTGAACATTAAATTTCAGTCATACAACACATCACTCTAGCATCACTTTAGGAAAAATCAATCTAGAGGATCATGCTCTCATTTTATGCCCCATTTGTTCCCCGTAAAATAAATTACACCAGAAAATATTTTCCAGAACATACTTTTTACATGAAAAGAAAATTATTTTTTTGTTAAATTACACTTAACTCCTTGAGATTTAACAAGATTACAAGATCTTCCTTGAGGTTTTTGAAATAACCAGTCTCCCTTATTAGACTTGTCGGCTAAACGCTGTAACTAAGTAACGTAATTTGAGCATGAGCGATGCCAAATCATGCTGTTGAGAGTGGATTTGCGAATTGTGTACAAAAAAGGAGCCAAATTTGTGGATTAGTTTGGTCAAATTCAAGAACTCATGAACAAATCTTGATTCCACTGACCATTAGCATCCACGCATAGGGCTCATGATGAGGAAATCATGCCATAACAATGGTTATCAGAATCCCGATCCGAATCGTAAGATCTTACGATTCTACAATTTTAGTTGGGCCAAATGATTTAGATCACATTAGGATCTTAAATTTAGCAGGATCTTAAAATTAATACAATCTTATTCATAAAATCGTGTATAATCGCATACAATCTTGATTCTACTACCATCCCGATTCTATTACCATCCCGATCCTAACAAATATTTTTTTGTTATTATTTATTTTTTATATATGTATGCATATGTGTATATCTATATAAAAAATTTGACTATAAATACTTTTTTCAAATATCTCTTCTAATTGATGTTAACATGAAAGATGCATTATATCAAATTTATCATTTTTCTTTATTTATTTATTTTTTTAAATTGCATAACATATATTATTATTATTGATAAATTTTCATTTTATTTTATATTAAAAGTAGAATCTTACAATCCTTGATCCGATCTACGAGTCCCTTTTAACGATCCTACTTAGGATCCCGATTTTAATAACTTTGGCCATAACACGCTCTCATGTGTGGATGGATGGGAAGCAAGCTGCCATCACTGAGGATTGAATGTGTGACTGGAAGGAAGGAAGGAAAAAGATTCTTTCCATTAGGCTACCTCATGAGTTTTGACAATTTTTGTGCTCTTTTTTCTTTATTATAATTACAACATTCACAAATTGCATTGAAATAATAATAGAATGGGTGAATGATAATGGTGGTAATTGGGTATGGGTTGCTGACGATGGTGAGGATTGGAGTTGAAGGCAATGGTATCATGGTATGGGTATGGATAGATTTTGTGTTGTGAGGTACACACTTTTTTTTTTTGTGAGTTGATGACATGGCAATGAATAATTGGATAATACAACAGTTTAATCGTTTTTATTTATTTTTTAACAAATAGATATTTTTTAGTATTTATCTTATGTAAAGAGGGTAAAAATGGCAATTGAATTGGTGATCCTGGTTTTTTTATCATCGTCCCTAATGAAGTTTGTATGGATTGGGAATCTTCTGTGTGTTGGTGAACTAGAAGGGAGGTTAGTGTGATTTCAAAAACCTCAGGGAGGTCTCTGCAGCTGTCATAAACTCCAGTGTAATTCATCCTTACTCTTTTCATTTTTTGGAGTTTGGGTGAAATTCTAGATAACATTTTCAGATAGAATTTTGCAGTAGTAGAAAGACAACAATTAATTCATATTTATTAGTCTAATTATAATTTGATTCAATTAAATGAACAATGAAATGTGAGTTTAGATTGGGTGCGCAAGTCAGGTGTTGTTTTGTCATGTTAAACCACTATGTGTTGAACCTGGTTTGGTTCTACATTTTGACAAAGAAATAGAGAAGATTACTTCTTGTGATGGGCGGGTGTTGCGAACTTAGGCTCTTTATTGAGATTGAACAGTGAACTTTGAGCAATTGCATAGAGGCAAACAGAGATTTCAGATAATTGTGGGGAGAGAGAGAGAGAGAGAGAGAGAGAGTCTGGCAAATGTCCAGTGGCATCAAAGGGGAAGAGGTTGGTCCTCATTTATTTCACATCAGACCCCCGCCCTCGTCTCTCTCTGCCAGCAACTTTAGAGTCAAAGAGTGCCATAACTTCTTAGGAAATAGCTTACCTTTAGAATTCAGTAAGTCAATTTCAGCTACACATTGTAAAATCTTTCTACCCATAGTTGTCAAATCGGGATTCGTATCGTGAATCGAAATGGTCTCGTACCGAATCGCGAATCGAATCGAATCGTGAATCGTAAAGATTCGGTCACTTTTTCTAAATCACTTAAAAATATATATCTACACATTTAGATGTTAAATGTATCTTATGAATATAAAATATTTAGACTTAAATCAACAAAAATGTTATTTTTGAATGATAATCACGTAATTTAATAGGTAAGAAGTTAACAAAGGTTCCTATGCAAAATCACCATCTTATCTTCTTTTTTTTTTTTTTTTTTAGATTTTTTTATCAACCATTCTTAATAAAGGTAATAACCAAATAGAAACTATTAATTTCTAAAGTAACAATAGTTAACAACGATATTGATATTTGGACAATAAGCATATATACTTTTCTAAGTAAGAGTGAGCAAATAATAAGAAAGAATTATTTAGGATATTTTATTTTAAAGCCTAAAACATTTAACAGGTCTAACAGACCTCACACATGTGGTATTCAATTTAATAAAATAGTAATAGATAATTCATAGTGCAACTCTAATCTTAAACATCTTTAGAAGATATATTACAATTTTTTGAAGGGGACAAAAATGAGAAGAAAGATTAAAAATATGTTAGGTCTGACTGAATCTGATTGGATCCTATAAAAAACTCCATGATTACTAAAATAATAACAAATCATATATATATGTTGGTTATTTTGGTATTAAATACTATTAGAAGTTGTATTATGTCATTTTTACTAAAAAGATGGAAAAAATGAGTCGAAAATATGTCGAACACAATAATTTCAAAAATTGCATGAATCGTAAAAAGTGAATCGAATCGTGAATCGATTGTGAATCGTGCGATTCACTAGAGATTCACTTCCAAAATAGATTCACTCATAGATTCGTATCGATTTTGCAAAAATTGCGTATCGAATCGTGAATCGAATCGTGAATCGTAAGATTCTGATAACAGAGTTTCTACCCAATAAAATATTTCCTAAGCTTATGTGTAGGCAAACAATAAAAAATGCAGACAAGACAATATTTTTAGGAATTTTTACACTGAAATAAGTGGAGTGTTGCTATGGAATTTGGAAGTTTTTGATTGTTATTCAGATTGATTGCTAGTTTATACTTTTCCTTTATATATTGATTTCATGTGCAGTTAAGTATTATTATTTTTCTATGAGGTAATTTTATATTCTCTGTTTTACCTTTTTTTTCTTATTGGATGTGTTTCTTTTTTATTTTTACAGGTTCAACAATCAAGTTTTAACAACTCTGTACGATGGCTTCAAATACAAACCTCTTCTGATCTTGTAAACCTCCACCACCCCTATATCTCTCGTAAAAATATTAACAAATTATTTGATGTTTATGTTACAGATATACTTAAAAATTACTATTGTGCATTTTGCCAGTCTATGTTTTTTGAATTAACATGCTTTCTGTCCAGAATGTGTCTATCTTCTTTTTAGTTTCAGAGATTCTAGAAAACTAGAGAAGCCTAGTGAAAAATAAGAGGAAAAAAATACTAGGATATCATATTTCTAAGAATTTTGCACTGAGTATGCTTGGCAGGGATTAATGTTAATAATTTTTTATTCTACGTAAAATTCACTATTCTTTGGTCTTTCTCATCTAATTTTTTCATACCATGTAGGACCTTCATTCTCAGCTGAAGGAATTAATTCCAGAACAACAGGTACATTCTACTAGGTTTGATATTTGTATTGATAATAGAGGAATTATTTTATTTAATTTCTTATCCTGATTTGACATCTGGGTGCTGAATGCAATCAGATTTCTTTTTCATGTCTCTTCTATTGCAAGTTTCATTTTTGAATTCCAATTGGTTCAGTTTCTTATGTATTTAATATGTGCACTCATGTCTCTGTTGTTGGGTCATTGTTACATTCTTTGTTCGATCAGTTGAACCATGCCTTAGTAAGAGGGAAGGGGTGTTGAAATGCAAATTATTCTACATAGTTGCAAGTGGGATTGTGTTTCTTAGCGAGGAGCTGCCTAATTTCCTACCCTCTTTATTTGGTATCATGATTAGAATAAGTTGCTGAATGTTGACATGGAAAGTTGCACCCCTTTTTATGGTTGATCTCAGCTGTACTTGGAGTCCTAGACATTCTGCATTGTTGTGACTGTGAATTGTACAATTCAAAGATTAAAAGTGTGGTCTTTTGACAATTTTGGTTAAGATATAGGTAACAATTATATATATTTAATTTCTGAGTAGAACCTGATTATCTTGTTCAATTTTGTTGCAGGAGCGCCTGAAGAAACTGAAGTCTGAGCATGGAAAGGTTCAACTGGGGAACATTACAGTTGATATGGTAAAGATGCCGTTTGCTATTGCTCCCTCCTTTGTCTTATATCAATAGTAGAGTGGATGGTTAAACTTTTCTGTAATTATGTTGGCTTCCAATTTTTGAACAATTCGTGATTTTAGTTTGTAGCTTCTAATTGTATTTCTATGTTACTATTTGAAAGGTACTTGGTGGAATGAGAGGAATGACAGGTTTGCTGTGGGAAACCTCATTACTTGACGCTGAGGAGGTATGTGTTCAATTTTCCCTTAGTATTATGAGATTTTATGTGGTAAGTTTTATGTCTATTTTTTTTTTTTTTTTTTTGTAGCAGTATTTGTATGCATGAACACAGATTAGTCATTAATAAGCGACTCCATTACATGATGAAAGGTTTAGTGATTTATATCTGAAAGCTTCGCCTCTCTCTCTCTCTCTCTCTCTCTCTCTCTCTCTCTAACCAGGGCATACGCTTTCGGAATTTGTCAATACCTGAATGTCAGAAGAAGTTACCAGCGGCAAAGCCTGGTGGAGAGCCATTGCCTGAGGGTCTCCTTTGGCTCCTTTTAACAGGAAAGGTAGGTAGTCTTGGTCTTTAAGATAAGAAGACACCCAAAGTTATTTGTACAGTGGGAATTAGAGGATGACAAGGACTGTAAAGATACTTGAACTTCCTTTTATTTGGGTGCCTTTTGGTAGAATTTTACCCGTTTACTCTTATTCTTACATAATTATGCTCACTGCCTCCCCTTCCGGGCCATGTGCAGGTACCAAATAAAGAGCAAGTAGATGCATTATCCAAGGAATTACGAAGCCGTGCCACAGTTCCAGGTTCTGTGGCTTTCAATTTTGTGTTTAAATGTTTATAACTCAATTACCTGTGGTATAGTGTGTTTAAGAACTTTCATTCATATGATTTGTCTAGCCAACCCCAATAGCTGGAATCAGTTAGCGTGAGTTCCATAAATATAGTCTGTTTCTTATCAGCCTTCGTTGATTTTACCTTTATAGGTGTTTTTTAGCCGACCCCATTTGATGGGACTTAAGACTTAGTTTGGTTTGGTTTGGTTTGGTTTAGGTGTTTTTTAAAGGAAACCTAACTTGATATTTCACTTCCCTTTCTATGGTAGTTGATTGTTCAACCTATTTATTTTCTTAAATAGATAATATAAGAGAGCTCCATGGTAGTTTTGCCGGAGCTATTTTTCCTTATTTTGGTCTTTAAAGTCTTCCAATTCAAAATGTTTACATGCCCTGACTGGAGGTTTAAATCCAGCTATCAACCTGAATCCTTGCTCCTTGTTCTAGTCTCCTTATCAACATAACAGGTGTTTATTAACTTCTTGTTGTGGTTGCAGATCATGTGTACAAAGCTATTGATGCCCTTCCTGTTTCAGCTCATCCAATGACCCAGTTTGCAATGGGTGTCATGGCTCTTCAGGTTGATAGATGGACTTTTTGAACCTTTTTTTCCCCATTTCCAGCCATAATTCTGTTTTAATGGTACAATCAATTGCCGAAAATGTTAATTAATCCATTTGTGCAATTGTTCATTGTTTGTGCTTGTGGTGAACTATTTATGTGATTTGACGAGTTGTGTTGTCCATGATAAAGTCATTTGGCCTCTCCAGCATTATATATTGCTACATGCAGAACTGAAACTATAAAAATGAGCTAAGTTGATTTTTTGTTCTCTTTTGGAATAGAGTGCATTGTTTACTGGATTGTTTTTTTGTTATCAATGATTAACAGTAAACATACACAAATCATTCAAAACTATGTTCTCTGGGATAAGTTAGTGGTTCAGTTTTCATTGCTAATTGATTAGGTAAGTTGCAACTTGGGGTGGACTTTAGTGGGTGGGATACCCAGCATTTTAGCTGGTTTGGAATGGGGTAAATTCATTATTTCAACGAAACATCCTCAAATTTAAATTCTCTCAAGAAACTTGACGTTAAGATGACTATGTCTAATGAGTGGTTTATAAGCAAGGGATTGTAGACTTTTGGAGTCTTTTAGAAGAATTGGTACTTTGTGATTATAGTCTAAAGCAAAGCAGGAATATCTTATTCTGGGATTTCAATGCAAAGTGTTAATAGACTGATCCTTGCCCTGAAGACAATATGGTCAATGACTTGGCAAATTATAATGGGTAGAATATGGACCAGCTCTGTTCATGGCACCTCATGTCCAGTTTTAGCTAGTGGACAGCCTATTGCCCGCTGATTCGCTGAGGCAGGCTGTCTGACTCAAGGGCATGCTGAGGAGAATGTGGCATCAATGTAGGGGACTAGCTTGTTTGTATTGGTGGTGAAAAGGTGAGGGTCCAGAGGACATGAAATCTTTTTGGATATCCCCTGATGTCCTGTCTACCTGTAGGTCGTTGAAGTATTTTTAGGGTAGGGGTATATGGATGCTTCAAAGAGGTTTTCACTTCACTGAATATAGGTCAGGGACATGCATACAGAGGTTTTAGTGGTGTATGTGCAAAAATATGCATGGCATTTGCGTTACTGTTTTATGTAATGAAAAAATCTCCAAATTTTTATGAAAGAATGTTGAAATTTCTCTTATGATTATGGTTCATTTCTAGGTAAAGAAAAGCCAAAATCCTAGGTTTCTCTTAATTTACTAGATGACTTAATGATCTCATCAAAAGCTCATTTAAAATTGAGCGAAGCAAGGAACAAATGAACATGTTTACTCAAAAGTTTTGGTGTGTTTTTGTGCGCGCTTTTAGATATAAATTCAATGCAATGGCTTATCATCTTTCAGGTACAGAGTGAATTCCAGAAGGCATATGAGAAGGGGATCCATAAATCAAAGTAATTTTCTCTTAAGAAGATCTTTGCTGACAATTTTCCCTTCCCTTGTTGTCCAAGGACTGAAGATTCTTCTGCTTTCAGGTACTGGGAGCCAACATATGAGGACTCTCTTAGTTTGATTGCTCAACTACCAATAGTAGCTGCTTATGTCTATCGCAGGTTAGTAAAGTAAATATCAGCTCGTTCTTAATATTATTTTTTGCTATTGCTTTTTGACAAGTTTTTGGGTGATATTGAATCAGTTATAAATTTTTTTCATTTTCTTTTTTTTGATAAATAATTTTTTTTCATACTTGCTGAATGTACTATATATAAGCAACGAAATGAGTAATTTGTGGACAAAGTTGTATTAAATTCTTTCTTTATAAGTGGCTTATCTATTAATATCTTTGCAACATTATCACAGCATTCTCTGTGTGTGTGTGCTTGTGCGTGTGTGTGTGTTCATGTGTGCCTGTAGCTTGCATGCTTGCAGCTCTTTTCCATGCTTAATTAATTCGGTCTAAGTGCCTGTTGATGCATTTTATCTTTATGTGACTTGAATCGTTTTGGATTGACTCCTTCCTTTGTTTATGTAGGATTTACAAGAATGGGCAAGTTATACCCAAGGATGATTCCCTAGATTACGGTGGAAATTTTGCCCACATGCTTGGATTTGATAGTCCTGACATGAAGGAGCTTATGAGGCTTTATGTCACCATTCACACGTGGGTTTATACTATTTGCAGTCTGCTATGATAGTATTTACTATAGTAGTGCAGAGTTATATGATTAATTTTGAAATTTGGGAAAATATATGCAAACTACGTAGAGAGGAGTATAATACCCTTCAATTAACAATACTTTGATATGTAACAGGGTGGGTAGATGAGTTATTCTAAATTTTACTAAAATTCTATGCACATAAAGAGGAATGTAGTTGATAATTTCTCCAATCAGCATATGATGAATATGTATTTCATGATGTGTTGCAGTGACCATGAAGGTGGGAATGTTAGTGCTCACACTGGTCATCTAGTAAGTTGCTTTGGTTATTTATTGTAGCTATCTTAATGCCAGAATTTTTTAATTCTACCTGTTGTATTTAAGTTCTATTCCGAAGTCGCATGCTAAGAATTCTGGATGCGACTATTGAATCTGTTAGATGCTGACGTGTGTGCTCCCTGTTCATTGGTGCCATGGTCAATTCAGGTAGCTAGTGCCCTTTCAGATCCTTACCTTTCATTTGCAGCTGCATTAAATGGTTTGGCTGGACCACTCCATGGCTTGGCTAATCAGGTATTATATCTTTTTTTGTTACATTGCTTGTTTTCTGTTTTCTATTTGTTTTAGAAGAATTTGCTGCTGATATTTGGATTGATGTTAAGGCTGCTACCTGTGTGGACGTGAATACTAATTAACATGATAATTTGCTAGAAGTTGTGATGAATGAAATTCACACCTCATTAAAACACATCAATTTTTATGCTCCTATTGGTTCACAGTAAACTAAATTGAATAAGAATCCTAGAATAACAAAAAAAGTCATGCCTTTTGGGGACAAATCCTTAGAACACCTTATGAGAATAAAAACTGTAATGCAGCTCCAATTAGTGATATGGGATGACTAGTTAGTTCAAAGCATGTCTACCATGTCATCATCATTAAGTTTGATGCATTGTGACTAAGTGAATAATTCCAATCATAAGATAGCCTTATTTATACATGAGTTTTCCAAGTCTATGAGATTGAGTTTTGCATTTGTTTGAAAATGGTGGGTCATTGTTTGAAATTTTCAAAATAAAGTGTTTTGTGTGTATGTTAAAATCTGTGTTTTGTTTGAGTCAAAATGGTATTTGCATTACGTGATTTTTGTTTTGGAATGAAAGACTGACATGGTAAGACAGAGACATGAGCAAGTATACTCTTATCTCTACAATTAACATGTTGCTTGTATGAATGGAAATATTTTAGAAATGATTCGGAAACATAAGGGAAGCAAGAAAAAAGTTTGGAAATGTGTGAAAATATTTGGAATCAATAACTAAGGTCTAAATAATTGTTTATACATGCTTAACTAAACCAAACTAAGCCTTGTGTCCCAATCAAGTGAGGTTAGCTACACGAATATGTTTTTGCCAGTCTGCTCTATCAAGGGCTATATACTCTATTAAATTATTAAATTCATTTTTTCATCCTACCGCATCCAATGTCAGTTTAGGTCTCCCCCCGTAGCATTTTCATTTATGGTAATCATATAACTCTTCATTGTCGTTGCATCTATAGGTTTTCATTGTATATAACGAAACCATTTTAGCATGTTCTCTCTCAACTTATCTTCAATTAGTGTTACTCTTACCATTTTATGAATATATTAATTTCTAGGGTAAATTATGATAGTAGTCCCTATACTTTGGTCCTTGTGTCATTTTAGTCCCTGTAATGTAATTTCAATTGGCTTGACTTTGACCATGAATTTATGACTTTGTCTCAATTTGGTCCAATTGATTATAATTCTTTAACATTTTTTAATAAAAAAATACGTATATAAGTGGCATGTGCCATAATTTTAAGGGCAAAAATATAAACTTACTCAATTCAGTGAATTAATTTCAACCAATTCAATGATGATTTTCCGTCAAAAACACTACTGGCATTATCAATTGGACCAAATTGATACAAAATTTAAAATCAAGGGTCAAATTTGAGCCAATTGAAAATTTAGGGACCAAAATGGCAGAAGGAGCAAAATGTAGGGACAATTGGTGTAATTTGTCCTAATTTCTAATTGTATTTTTTTCAGTTTTACCACATGTCAAATAGGATTTGCAAAATTATCTAAAATAATAATAATTATGATATTAATAGTAAACAAAGGTATGGTTCCCAAGATGTGAGAGGTTCTTTGTACACACATGCTTCTTTCTTTCTTTTCTTCTCTCTCTCTCTCTCTCTCTCTCTCTCTCTCTCTAGCAAAGTTAAGAGAAGGTTCAATAAAGGTCAATAAATATTAGAAAGAAACTCATAAACAAAAAAGTTTAAATGGTTAGTTGGGGAGACAGGGGTTAATAGGAAATAGTAGTTAGGGGGGGGGGAAGTAATGGTGATAATTGATTGATCAAATTTTCGGTGTGCTAGTGAATAACATAGATAACTTGCAAAGATGAGACTTGGCACTGATGTGGGTTCAGTCAAAGTCTCTCTGACGCTGTTAGTAAAAATGGTGAAAGCAAAAGAAGGATAAAAGGGTGTATCACAAAGTCTCTTGGATGCTGAAGTCAGTAAAAATAGTGAAGGAAAAAAGAATTATGGATGAAAGGGTGTATCACAATTTGTGTCAAGCTGCTGCTTCTTCTGGTCTTGCTTTTATATAGGAGGTTAGATATGTTATATTGGGGATTTTGATACCTTAATTCTAGTTGACTTATCTACCTTAATCACCTTACTGATTTTTGCCTGATTTCAGGGAATTTTGGGTGTGATTCGCTAGATGTTTTGTTATCCCTTTTTTCTTAGACCTCTGGCTGATCTTCCATCTTGGTCACTTCTTGATCAATGCTCAATTGTATGGATGGAAGATCAGCCAAGGGTCCAAGAAAGGAAGGATAACCTAACATCTCTCGAATAAGTTGTAGAATCCACCTAAAGCAGGCATAAATTAGTAATGTTGATAATGTGGCTAGAATTAAGAGAGAACAATCCTCTATATAACACATCTAACCTCCATACAAGCTCAAGAATAGAAAAAGAAGGTAGACACAATTGTGGTACACCCTTTGATTCTTACTTTTTTCTCCTTCGCCATTTTTACTAAACTTGAGCGTCTGAGAGTTTGACCAACACCACACTAGCCTAAAGTCTCATCTTTGTACGTCGTCGTCTCATCTTTGTACGTCGTCCGTTTTGTTCACTACCACACCGGAAAACTGATCCATTAATACTCCCTCTGTCCCATTTTTTTAGTCCTTTTTCCTATTTTAGTATGTCCCAAAATAGTAGTCCTGTTTGAAAATAATTTTTTTTTAGTTTTCCAAAATTACTCTTTTTAAATGGCTAGAAATATTTTAAAAATTGAAAAAGAGAAGGGTATTATTGGAATAAGTGCGCTAAAATTTGAATTCAAATATAATGATTACATGTCCCCTAAAAAAGTTAGAATTTTCCGAAAAGGACTACTAAAATGGGACGGAGGGAGGGAGTAATACTAATGAATAAAAAAAACTACCTAGAATAACAAAGAAAGTGAATAAGTAATATAATAACAAAGAGCCATGATGACAGAAACTGTACACCATAACCTGTCCTGTTGTATCCCTTTTTTTTATCCTATTCCTGCCTTAATCTTCTGACTTAACTATTTACATGTTTAATTGTGTTGTGAATATTTGATATTTCAACTTTAGAGTCAGTTTTAAAATGACACTCATCAATGCTTGATGTAGTATGGCATAATAATTTATTCTTCATATATGCTTACAGACAGTGGATTGATGGCTGTATGCACTATGTGATTGAATAACCTAGTGTTACATGATGAATCCAAAAAAGGATGCTTACAGCAATGCAAGGGGGTTAAGTTTCTACAATTAGGCTACTTTGTGCATGTGTTTATACATGATTTCAAGGTTGATATTTTGCTTTATGTTTTGGTACCACATAATAAGGTTGGATGAGAGTGATTCTGTGTGCTTATCGATATGTATGTTAATGATGTGATGGGATTATGTTGAATTTCAACGGGTAATCAGCCTATTGATTGTTCTCTTCATCTTTGTCTCTAAGCCTTGTCTCAAGTCTCAACTAGTTGGAAATAATAAGCTATATTATTTTTCCTTTTCTTTTCCTTTTTAACTTTTCTCCATTTTATCGTGTTATTCATGTAAGGTTTGATTCTTTCATTTAGTTATTTGTTTTAGCTAAGAAATCCAGTAATTAAATTTTAATCATGCTACATTCCATCAGTTTATCTAATTTTATTGGTTTTTAACATTGATGGATATGAATTTCTTCGTCATTTGGCTATATTCAATATGTGTCCCTTGGATTTGATTGTGTTCTTAATTTATGGTTGCCAAATGAATTGCTTACATTGGTCTTATTTTCAATGTAATGTGGTTACAGGAAGTTCTGCTATGGATCAAATCTGTGGTAGAGGAGTGTGGTGAGAACATAACCACGGACCAGTTGAAAGACTATGTTTGGAAAACACTGAACAGTGGAAAGGTAACATGATAAATTATGCTAAATATTTCCATGGACATTATTGCCAAGAAGTTCATTGGTATACACGTCATTTTTGTATTTCCTTGTTTTATTGTAAATGATTGAAGTGTACGATTGAAATGAAACTCTGAACCATTGAATTAATTCCTGAATTTGATTTTTTTTGGTAACATTAGTTTCTGTCACTAAATTCTTAATTGAGTTCGCACTCCGATTTGGATCTTTCTGTCTGACTCCTTTTTGGCTGGTGGTTTAAGCTGGAACAACCATTGTGGGTTTTTCCTTTTTAGGATTCCACTAGCTCAATTAGTAACCGTTGCTTCCTTCTGGATGTCTTTTCTTTTCTCAATATTATCATTGTGGCCAAAAGGCAGGCATGGAGCAGGTCGTGTTAGACAGACAGTGATCGGGTCAAATCTCAACTGTTTAAATAATTATTAAAAGTTTATCTAGTACAGATCAATTGGCCCAATCAAAACTATAATAGAATAGTGATTGTCTCAACTTAGGCACAGCTTAGGCACGCTACCTGCTTCTCATAAGACCATATAATTAGTTGAATATTACTCAATTTAGTTTAAGCCTATAAAGTTTTACAAGTAGTCCGTTTACAAAATTGTAAGAACCCACAGAAGAGACTATTTTTTGTTTGCTCTAACAAAATTTTGTTGCTTTAGCAAAAAAAAAAAATTCTTTTAATATGACTTCACGTTCATCAAGTAGATTATATTCTTTGTTTGTTTAAAAAAAATGTTAACATGTTGTTACCATTAACTTTTTAACGTGAGAACTGATTGAGTTTTGTGAGGGTCATTACATGAAGTATTAAATTTTGAAAAACAACTCTTGTACAAAGTGAGTTAACTAAAATTTTAGATAAGAATAATGCTATATGCTCCAATTAGTGTACTAACTAGTATACAAACAGATGATGTGATATAATTTTAGAGGTTTTGGGTATTTGTAATTTGTATAATAAGTGGAGTCAATAATAATGTCATAACACTAGTTGGTACACTAATTGGTGCATGTAGTATCACCGTTTAGATAATGGTTGATTGAGTTTGAGTTTAACTAAAACAACTCTTATACAAGATAAGGCTTGTGAAAATTCATGAGGTCCAAAAAATTTTAGTAGATAAGCCATATATAAAACAACGGAAAGCCTATGGTGTGCACCCTCTTAGGGGTGCATACCATATGCACCTAACCAGAAATTAGTGTAATTTTACCACAAAATTTCATAACATTAATCACAAAATGTGTAACCTCACCACAAATTAGCGTAACAAAATGTCTAAAATTTTGTGGTTCATGTAACGAAAGTTTGTCGTTTGGTTGCAACATTTTTTGTTACGCCAATTTGTGGTTAGATTACGCATTTTGTGGTTGATATTACGAAATTTTGTGGTGAAGTTACTCCAATTTATGGTAGGGTGCATATGGTATGCACCTCAAAAGGGGTGCATATCATAGAGTTTTCCATAAAATATTTTTCAAATTTTTGGAGGAACCCGCTTCCCAATAAACTTGTCGTCTTGTCGTTAACATTCTTGAACTGATAAGCTGTTACTAGTTTGACCTCTTATGTCTCTTTTCCATTTTGATGTCTTCGTCAATATTTTCCATCCATTATCTTCTGTCCTTGGTAGTCAGTTTTGCCTCCCTGCTTGAATTCTGTGTCCAAACCATTTATTTTTTTATTCTTTAGCTAAAAAGGAGCTTTTGGTTTAGTAATATCATTATCATCCCAGTTTAATTTGGAACATTGGAACATTGTTAGCAGTATAGGCATACTAAGCTGTAACTGTTTCTCTCTAATTTTTGTCATTTGTTTTTAAAAATTAAAATTTCAGGTTGTTCCTGGATTTGGACATGGGGTTTTGCGTAATACAGATCCAAGATACTTGTGTCAGAGGGAGTTTGCATTGAAGCATCTGCCTGATGATCCACTGTTTCAACTGGTTATTACTTAAACCCGTTGATCAATTGAGAATTGGCTCTTGGGGAGCAAAAATGTGTAGACTGCCATCTGGTTCATTTAGCGATCTAACCTAGGTTTTTAATTTTATAGGTGTCAAAGCTTTTTGAAGTGGTGCCTCCTATCCTTACTGAACTTGGCAAGGTAACTCGCTTGTCTCTATATTCTCTATATTATTGAAGAGAAGATTATTTGAACTGAACTGGAATGATATATAAGATATGCACCCCTAAACTCCCCGAACGCACAACATTTAATTTGGTTTCCGGGCAAGTGTAGGAGCTAAAATTTCTAAAATCGCTCTTGGAGGAGGTAAGAAAACTAAGAAGACAATTATAGTGTTTGAAGGAGGACAAGTCACTGAGCCCTTTGAAAAAGAGGATAAAAATTGGATAAGAAACCCTAGATGGGTCTTATTAGAAAGATATCAGTGACAAAAATCATTTGTTAGATGTTTATAAATTATTTCTTTACATTTTAAAAAAAAAAATTTGACCAGCCTCCCACCTTACTCAAGGGAGTCAAATGAACTGGTCAATGATATCTTGACAGTTCATGTTGCACTATCATGTTTATATCATCCATGCTGGGTTGGAATCTTTTGTTTTCAATTTAGCTATGATCTCCAAAAAAATTCCCAAAAATTATTGTTGATCTTATTTTATTGATCTATCATCATTTTCCAATAATTTGAACATATAGTTAACTTTGTATGTTTTGGGGATTTTTTGGATGCTTGTAGGTGAAGAACCCTTGGCCCAATGTTGATGCCCACAGTGGGGTGTTGCTGAACCATTATGGTTTAACTGAAGCCAGGTCTGTTTTTTGTTCTGTATTTGATTTTTTTATTTTTTTAGAATTTATTTAGATTAGCTGTGACTGTTTTGAAAAGTTAATAACACCCTCCAAATTAAACCATGTACAGATACTATACTGTTCTTTTCGGTGTATCAAGGTCTATTGGGATCTGCTCTCAGGTTCTCTCTCCTGCATTATAAACCTTTTTTTAACTGATCTTTTATTGTTTTCTCGATCTTATCTGACTTGTTCTTCTGTCGTTTTAGCTAATATGGGACCGAGCTCTTGGGTTGCCACTGGAGAGGCCGAAGAGTGTTACAATGGAATGGCTTGAAAATTACTGCAAGAAATCAGCTTAATCTCCATTACTTCACGAGGATAGAATGCTGTATCGATTTTTCTCAATAATGGGGAATGGTGAGGATTCGGTGTAAGTTGGGACCTTTTATTGGACTGACTGTCATTTGCGGCCGGCATTTGGATTGTTTATAGCTGCTGGATCATTTTCCCCAAAATTTTAATTTTTAGTTATATTTGCATTTCTTATTCGGGTGATTTTGCTATAGCGCTCTCATTACGAGTGCAGATGTAACATATAGGAATTTAAGAAGTTTTTCACATTTTAACCTCGATTCTAGCAAGATTTGAATCCTCAACCTCTCATATGAGAGGGTTGTGGCAATGCCATTGGGTTTGAAGCTTTTGGCCATGAGTTTTAACTTGTACAAGAGAGAACTCAAAACAAAAGCTAATAGCACCCACATAACCTCTTAGAATATTCTACTTTTTTGGACCTCTACCAATACATTTTAAATTTTGCAAATTGTTTTTTGAACATCCCACTTAATACCAAAATTATTCTTCTCTTTATCAAACCCTAATGCTATGCCTACCACCTCCAGTTTTGATCACCTTTCGTTGTCCTCAAGCTCCACTTGTCTCTTCAACCCTCTACCTTCCTAAATCCTTCCCATTTCCATTTTACCATTGCTAGTTGATCTCTTTCACTCTCTCTAGTTCGTTTGGGGTTTGCAGTTGGAAGGCACCAGAAGGCGAGAAGGGTGGCGTGGCATTGAAGAATGAGGTGATTGCGGTGGGAGGGGTTGGGAAGAGTGGCTGAAGGAAGTTGCGGACATACAGGAGAGGTTGGAGAGGGGTTGGGGCCAATAGCAGCTCAAAGTTTTTTGAGACTTTAGGCTAAACAATAAAATGAGGCTTTATTTTAATGGGTCTTCGAAAATATGAGGCATTTATGAATAAGAATTTTAAAAAAAATTATTGGGGGCCTTAGACAATATTGTAAGTAGCTTAATGGTTGATTCACCTCAGTTAGAGTGGTGGGTGGAGTTGGGGATGCTGGGGAAGGGTGTCATGAGTTGGTGTTGGGGGTAGGGGCTTAAAAATAAATAAATTAGGGTGCTGTTAGTAGCAGTCCAAATGTTTCCCCAACACTTGGGCGTATAGTGTTTACTTTAATAACCATTATTTGAATCATCAATTTTTTTTTTTTTTTAAATAAATGTGTTTTTGTATATAAGATTTGTGTTTTTATATTGATCTCATCGTGATGTGCGTCAAATGAGCTTCATGATGAATTCGACAATAAAACAATGACGATTACTTGTGTTCATTGTTACTAGACGAAGAAATTTCACTCCTTCAACATTGGGTTCTAAATATTGTAAAATTTAGGATTAATTATAAACATTAGGTACATAATTTCAAGTTAAAGATTAAAATTTTCAAATTGAAGCTGTAAAATAATAATTTAAATTTTTATGTTTCAAAGAGTTAAAAATAATTGTTGCATTATACTGTTTTAATGCCTCTCCATTGACGGAACATGAACATGATAATTTAATTAACCATCTGCAATCGTGATATTGATATGCCAACCATTAAAAACAAACTTATACCGGAAAGACATTATAATAACAATGAAATGATCTTCCATCTATAACATAACAAAGCTTCTTGGGAGTTACTAGGCTTTTTTGAGTTACTCTCAAGGCCATGGATTTTTTGAAGGGAGACAAAACGATAGTTAGATACCTCTCCAAGCCTAGAACAATTTTGAATGACACATTTCTAAACCTCACAATTGCTGACCACGACTTCTTACAATTGCAAAACCTTAGTCACTACAGTCGCCACCGCCTCTTAACCCCTACCACCATGACCTCCCCATCCTCTACTACGGTGGCCTAATCATGTCCCTCACCCTCGCACCAGTCACACTTGTTCTCTGCCACCCTCTCATCACCTTCAAAACCTAACTTCCACCTTACCACTTTAAAACCCTAGATCGAAGAAGAAGAATGAGGAGGAGGAGGGGGAGTGGCAAAAGAGCGAAAGGTGCAATGAGGAATTGAAGGGGTTGGGAGTGGCAATGAGGGAAAGAAAGGGATTAGAGAGGCTGGGAAAGGAGTCGCGATGGACACAATTGTTAAGTATATAATTGCATCTTTTATAATAAAAAATAAGGCGCTAAGGTCATGAATCTAATTTTTAAACTTTCATGGCAATTATTTGAGGCAGTGTTTATTTTGTACAAACTTTGAAATATCGTTACTTACCTTTTACAACTCTATTTTTAATTTTCTAGTATATCTAGTTGAGTAAGATCTAAAAGCCTAAAACTTTTAAGAATTTTTTTTTTTAAGTTTTACTAAAGAAACAAGAGGACAAAAAAAATAAAATAAATAAATAAATAAATAATTCATTAAAAGCTCAAACCCCAATAAGTATAATAGTAAAAAATTGATGGTATAAAACTATATAAAAAATCACTTAAAAAAAGAAAAAATTACCAGAAAGTGCCATATAGGAATTAGTTACTCCAATTAATCCTATAAATTTTCTAATACACAGATAAGTCTTATTTTTTTTGACAACCTTACCGTGAAATCTTATTTTAAAGTGTGGTATGATTTGACAGACATTTTCACCCTTCCTTTTTGGGGACACTAATTTTTAGATCAAATTTCTGTCACTCTAATGTAACATTCCAACGTAAAATTTCAAAAAATTCCTTAATGTATTTTCTTCCAAATATAACATAAAACACTAAAAAATTCCTTAGTATATTTTTTTCAAACGTAACACTCCAAGGTAACTCTAATGTAACACTCCAAAAAAACTTCTTAGTATACTTTTTCTAAACATAACACTCCAATGTAACACACTAAATAAACCCTTCCAATGTAACACTTCAATATAACACACGAAAAAATTTCTTAGTGTACTTTTCTCAAACATAACACTAAAAAATTCCTTAGTGTATTTTTCTCAAACATAACACTCCAATAGCGCAACACTCTAATGTAACACTCCAAAAACGTAACACACTAAAATATTTTATAGTATATTTTTTCAAAGGTAACACACAAACGTAACTCTTCAAATGTAATACTCTAATGTGGCGGACAAATAATTTATTATACATCTAAAAAGACGGAATAAATCATAAGAAAAAAGAGTGATTTTACTTACATCACAAAACTATCTCCTTACACCCTTAAAATATTAAATTTTTATTTTATTTTTTTTCAATTTTTATAATACTAGCCACTGTGTTTGGTTTGAGTTTTCTGGATCAAGTTTTTTGAAAATTGACTTTTTTGATTTTTATGTTTTTTTGTTTTTAATGAATATTTTTAAAATTTTAAACATTTTTTTTTACTTTTTTAGATGTATCTTACTTAGATGTATCTAAAAAGTAAAAAATTTGTAAAAAAATATTTTAAAAAATTAATAAATACATAAAAATACAAAAAATGTACTGAATATGAATTCTTGTATTTTTTTTATATTTTTGGTATTTAATGAATTTTAAAAAAAAAATCATAATTTTTTTACTTTTTTAGATGTATTTATGTTAGGTATGTCCAAAAAGTAAAAAAATTGTTTAAAATATTAAAAAAATTCAATAAAAATAAAAAAACACGAAAAATAAGAAAGTAGAATTTTCTGAAAAGTGTTTTGAAAAACTGGAAACCAAGCAAGGTGACTCGTTTTACCCGCATCCCTTCCATTGACTCTTCTTCTTACACCAAAACCTTTCAAATCTAGTTTCAAACTCTATTGAATCTTTCACGAGGGAAGTGGCGAGGAAGTCCTATGATCTTGATGTTAGTATAATATTATGTATATTATTATGTTTAGCTTTAGCTTTAATAATTAGTGTAGCTTTAGCTTTCATAATTAGTATAGCTTTAGCTTTCATAATTAGCTTGCTTTAGCTTTATGCTTTCGCTTTATGCTTTCGGTGGCTCTCTCTTCAATGTATCACAGGCTATAAGAAGAGAGCTAGGCTCCCTTTGTAAATCAATCTATGAAATACACATTTCATTTATTCACTTGTTCTCTCTCTCTATCAATTTTATCTTTCATGGTATCAGAGCCCAATGTTACATTTCTGGCAATTTTCGATTTTGGTGTTTAGTCCCGTACACAGTGGCACTACATCAAACTGCTCGGAATTTCCTCACGATTCCAACGGCACCAAGCCCATTCTCAAACAACCTTCCACGCGCCCACACGCGCCGCTTTTGTCCTCTACGTGTCATCACTTCTGCCACCACTCTCACACGCGCCCGCACGCGCCATCTGCTGTCGCTCACTTCCGCCACGCGTCCACACGCGCCCACACATCCGCGACTGACGTCAGCCCTGCCTCTCCCGTACGTCGCGCCTGCTACTGTACGCCTATCGTGCGCCGCTTCACTAGTGTGCACCCGCGTGCGCCAAAACAGCTATCGTGCGCCGCGCCTGCGCCTGTCCGCTACCGTGCGCCGCAGCCTTCCCGCTAACGTGCACCTCCCTGCACTCTGTTAACGTGTGCCGCTGACATCATTGCTGACATCATCTCTATCCAGCATACATTTCCTTGCTATTTTCGACCTTCCGGACTCACTGGTGCACTCTATTTTACCTAATTTTGCTCCTACAGGTCTATTCCTCTTACTTTAACCCTACTAAATTAGTATTATGGATCGTCATGATGCCTCCCATCCCATTTCTGTTATTTTGAATGGTTCAAACTATGTTCTGTGGGCCCAAGCCATGTCCTCCTTTCTCAAAGGCAAGAAGCTCTGGCGAATTGTCACCGGGGATGTGACTAAACCGGTAAAAGATAGTGCCACTAATGAAACTCCTGCTCATACTACTACATATGAAGACCGACTTGAGGAATGGGATAGTAAGAATTACCAAATCATTACCTGGTTTCGTAATACCTCTATTACCTCTATCAGTCTTCAGTTTGGTCGCTTTCAGCTTGACTCTGTACCTACTCCTGCAAAAGACATCTGGGATTTCTTGAAAGAACGATACCAGACTACTGGTCTTGCCCATCAATATCAACTTCAGAACCAACTTCATCGCATGCGCCAAGAATCCACTCAGTCCATTAATGACTTCTTTTCTCAAATGTACTCTGTTTGGGATCAGCTTGCTCTTTCAGAACCAACTTGGCATAACCCTGAAGATGCTGTTTTATTTACTATCTATCGCAACCAGCAAAGGTTGGTGCACTTTCTCATGGCTCTTACTTCCTCTTTTGAGCCCGTACGTGCCTCTCTACTTCATCGCCATCCATTGCCCACTCTTGAACAAGAAATTTCTGAGTTGCTATCAGAGG